TTAAATATACACAACATAAAAATTAAATACACATTAATTAAAAATAATATTTTTTTCTATCCATTCAAAATTAATGGTGAACATTAAAAATAATATTTTTTTCTATCCTATTGATATTAGTTATATATGTTACATGTACATTAAAAATAAATTAAAATGTCTAAACAATGATATTTAATTTGTTATTGTACTATATTTAATATTATCATAAAGTGAACAATTAAGTAATGTTGATTACAAAATAAAAAATAAAAAAATGATATGTGAAAAATTTGTATCCATCTAAAATAAAAATCAAATAGTACATAAGTTTTCAGATATTCTATTTGTTTAATTTTTTTGTGTGACTTATTTATAATAGACATTCTATCCATAGCTTTAAAATATAAGAGTAAATGATTAAAATTACAAAAATTATTAATAAATTTTTTAAACTATTTAACTTATTTTCTAATAGATTTGATAGTGGAAAGATCACAAACATTATTAATAACTTTTTTAAAATAATTTAAAAAAATATGTTTTATAATAGTTATCACTCAAAAAAATAACTATATTAAGGATATTAAAATAATTGTTATATTAGCCTAATTAAAATATCAATGCAAGACTGAAAAAACCCTAGAACATAAAATAAAATGACAATCGATCATGTATATTATGCATAACTATTTACTCATTAAGTTAATTTCAATTCCCAATTAAGAATAATTAAAAGCAAATATTTGAAAAATGAAATAAGAATCATGACTCACTTTGATCGAGGAAATATTTCACAGTTCTTTCTCTCATTAATTCAACGAATTATCACAATTAATATAAAAAATTAATGCAATTATGATTGAAAAAAAAACTCCTAAATCTCTCAAAATCGGTTTCTGCTTACTCTCTATCATTTAACTGGTTTCTATTTTCTCTTTCACCGTAAAACAAAACGTTTCTCATTTTCTCTCTTTATCTCTACGTTTTTTTCATTCATCTCCTCTTTCTCTCACGCTGCACTCAACACCAATACATATAAAAAATCATTCAAAGCAAGCCAACAAATCAATCCACACAAAAACAACTCTAGCCCTAATTAGACTCTCAAACCCAAATTCAATAGTTATTAGTAGGATTACATGGTACAACTTTATATCAAGAGTAACAGATCAAAAAAATGAAAACGAAATCATGTATATTATTTTACTTCTCTGGATCCTCATGTATATTATTTTACTTCTCTGGATCCTCTTGCGTGGTTGCTTTTGTGAACTGTTTTGTATAGTTGCGTTTTTGTGAATAAGGAAAATGTGTAATTTGATTTAACTCTGAAAGAAAATTTATAGGTGATTCATATAAGAATTCCCCTCGAAGTTTTATGAGCAATTTAAAATTAAAATGATATGAAATAAAAGAGATTAAAAAATATATGCATATAAAAATGTTGTCGGAGAAGTATTTTGTAGATGAAGAGAGAAAATGTTGGCGAAGAAGATGAGATTATGCATGAATATTGGAAATCGAAAATTGAAAAAATAGAATTGAATAAATAGCGATGAAGATGAGATTAAGGATGAATATTACTTTGTGTAGATGAAATCTAATAAGAGAAAAGATGAATGGATAGAAGGAATTCAAATGAAGGGTCATCTCTTATAAATTCTGAGCAGACTGTAGGGAAAATGCAAAAGATAGAACGACTTGAATGTTGTGTAGATTTACATTGGAAGTGGTCTATGCAATACGTGGGGAAGTGTTAATGTCATAGATGAAATGATTGTTATGCATTTTAAATATAATTAATATATTATTTGAATAATGTTTAATTAAATAAATGATTAGTAGTTATAATTACTTATATGTCCTTGTAAAATCATGTTAAATATGAATTTAGTTCACTAATGACATAATTATGATAGTCATTAGTTTTATTATATTAAAAGTAGATATAGATGAAAAGTTAATGATATATATATATATATATATATATATATATATATATATATATATATATATATATATATATATATATATATATATATATATATATATATATATATATATATATATATATATATATATATATATGATAAAGTCACAAAGTCACGGTACATATATGGATGAATACAGGTGACACATTACACATATATACATATTTTAACGATACAACATATATTGGGTTGAAAAGAAACGATATATCTCATTAAATTTATTATTCATACGAACATTGGTACAAAGTTATATGCCTCAAAACACAATTACTCATCATATTTAAGGATTTTTCATTAAACCATAACAATGACAAAATTATAAAAATTTAGAATTTCAACCTAAACATGTTTCTATTCATCATACATTATCATACAATTCGTAAAAACCCACATTTATCTTGATTTCTTGATGAACTCTTGAACTGTCACTTTAGGGTTCTTCTTTTCTTCTTTTCTCCTTTTTTCCTTCTTTCTCTACTTTAGCCTTTTTTTTCTTCTTTTTCTCTTACTAACTCTATTTTCTCTTTTTACAAAATCCTTATAACAAACTAATTTAAGTAACTAACGAGGTTACTCATCATACACCCCCACTTTACTCTTCCCTTTCTCACTCAAGAGACCCAATTACCTTATTTCTATTATTTCTATATAATTATCACTAACAAAATAATTATTTACTAACTGACACCAAAACTAACTATAATTCTACAGTTCTCTATTTCAACCCGACTAACCCGTCACATAGCACACATCAATTAATTTAAATAAATCAAAATTATTCACAAAGTCAAATAATTATATATATATATATATATATATATATATATATATATATATATATATATATATATATATATATATATATATATATATATATATATATATATATATATATATATATATATATATATATATATATAATAAAAATTAGTGTTATATAACTCAATAATGAAGCTTGTAACTTCTGTTTGGTACAGGCTGACACATGCAGTCTTCAGACCGATATATACTGTAAGTTTCAATTTAATGTGTCGACACAGACGATCAGGTTGACACATGTGCTTCAATATTAAAGGTTGTAGTCTTTGTTTCTCATAGGTCGGCATGCAAGCCTTTTCAGGCCGGCACATACTGGAATTTTTAGTTTTGTGTGTCAGCACATCTGTGTTTCAGACCGACACATACTGTTTGATTGTGTCAATTTTTTTAATTCTTTTTAATTCCTAAAATTACCTCTTTGCATGCAAATTTCCACAAATATAAATACATCATGCATGCATTATTCTAACTTGATGAAACTATAAACACGTACCACCATTGCTCTTCATCTTCAACCTTCAACCTATGCATACACGATGATAAATCACACATAATCATATTTTATCGGGGTGCCATCTAGGCGAGGTTTGATAACGTCCAATTATGTTTTTGTGTAATCAAGAATATTAGGTTGAGAATTGTGGGGAGTTTCATCCGGAAAAACATAGGGTTTGCCCACCAAGATCTTTGGTAAATTTTGGAGGTTTTGTTCAAGACTTTCAAAAGAGAATTGCAGCTAAGTGAAAGCTTTGGAGTTTGGTACCCAAGAGAGTAGCGAGAGAACGGCGAATCAAATTGAAAGTGATTGTGTTCAATAATTACAATTGATCGTGCGTGAAAGAGCTTTGAAGTTTGGTATCCAAAGGAGTAGCAAGATTCGATAAATTAATTGGTAACTATCGTGTTTTGGTCTTGCTCAAGATGAAAAAAATAGAAGTGGTTGAATCAACAACAAACGGTTAGGGTTTGTAGGGTTGTTCATGAAACACTTCTCTTGTAATCAACTTTTTTATAGTACGAAATTTATCTCAATTTCAAAAGAGAATTGGGGGAGACATAGCCATAGCGAGGACGATTGATGGACTTCCTAAATAAATTCTCGTGTCGCTCTCTCTTATCTCTTTACTCACTTTTATTTTTCATTAAATAGTTTGTTGAATTTCATTGATTAATCGATCGACTCGTAAAAAAAAATCGGTGTATGTTTTTTGTTTTAAATTTATTGTTGATTAGCTTATAATCACTTTGATTATAATGCTTTTTCATATCAACAAAACTCAAAATTCTCAAATTCCGTTCGCACACCAAGTATTTAACAAATTGCATTGTTCATTGTTTTTGCTTAATTTTATTGGAAATAAATTGCTAGTGAATTATTATAAACGAGTAATAGAGTATTGATTGTTTCAAGTGTATTAATTCCTCTTATTAATTCATTTATTTCATAAATCTCTTTGCTTATTTGAGTTCTAATAATTAAATTTATATAGACGACTTCCGCTTGCATTCTATTCAAATAATTTTTAAATACAAAATTAAGTGTTACGCTTAGTGTAACTTTTCATACTAATTGAAATACTTTTTGATCAATTTCTCCTCGAGTTACACAAATACCATGGTATCCTCTGAATTTTAATGTTAGTCTTGTGGCATACGTATTGCGACGCGGTTTGATTTTGTCATTCAAAATTTGGTCAGTTATCTGAATTCTTCAACAGGAGAAATATAAAGTTATAGGACTGAAATTTAGTGTCAAATACTTCGTATAATATACTATTAATTAAGGTAACATTTCTAGAAAGGGAGATTAGCTCCAAAAGAAATATTATTATCAATTTGCAAAAAAATATCTATTACATTTGTTCTTCTAATTGTTTTATTTAATTAATATTTTATATGTTTGACTTTCAAGTTATTATATTACATTTAATTTTTTATAATCTAAATATATTAATATTTAATAGAAATAACTTAATAAAATACTATTATCTTTTAAAAATGTATTTTAGTCTTTTATTACATATTGTAAAATAAATAATAAAATGTGACACTGACCATAGGAGGGAGTATATATTAATTAATGTTAGATATTAGTGTAATTTTATATATGAAATTTCCATGAATGTTCGAAGGAACATAAGCTCTTTGACACTATAAATTATATTAATTAGACCGGCACACCATAACTTAATTTCAATATACTGTGAGATGGCTTATATCTTCAATGTAGCAAATTCTCTTTCTTTAGGCTTTTTCATTCGAATGATAATTGCATTTACTTTGTTTATGGAGTTGGCTTCAGTTAGTGCAGGTTTGTCGACTAACTATATATTGTACAAAATTAAATCATGCATACATAGTAATGTTTAAAAAGTAATTAAATTTGTTTAATCTTGAAATATATTTTGAATTGGTGATAATCATGTTTAATTGATTTTGTAGATATAAATATGAGGAAATTGGGAAACTCACCAAATCCACCTCCTCCACCAATACGTAGCTGGCCCTCTAGGCCATCACGTCCAGACCCAAGTCACCCTCCACACTAATTAAGGGTATTGGAAGCCTTTGACCAAAAAAGTTCATGTTATGTTTGTTTGCAAAACCATCAAATCTTGTAATATCCTCATAAGTTTTATATGGTTTTGTAGAGAAAAAAAATCAAGCGTTTCTAAATATTGTTGTAGTATTTATTAGAGGGTAATTTAGTATTTGTCATTTGTTGGATATTCTCTTTAGGTCATATGTGGCATCCTTATCTTTACTACTTTTGTGTATAAATAAGTGTACTAAGTTTACATTTTATATACAATCAATTCTCTTCAATCATTTGTGGCAGCTTTATAGCATTTATTCCTTTTCTCTCTTATTCTTCAATTTCATCACCTTGCACCAACAAATTGGTATCAGAGCTCTTGGTTTGTTCTGAAATTATGGGAAACACGAGTGATACTGAGCTGTGTGTTTGATTTTTGGTTCCTGATTTCTGTTGAATCTTGAACAAAAATCTGAAACAGAATCACACTGATTCTGTGGGTTTGGGAAACACTGAGTGAGAATCTGAGATTTGAATTTTTGTGCAAGGTTTAAGATGAGTGAAGGCAATAGTTTGAACACTAAACTTCCAGTTTTTGATGGCAAAAATTGGAACAAATGGAAGATACAAATGCGTGTGCTGTTTGGTGCTCAGGATGTTCTGGATCTTGTTACTGAAGGTTATGTTCCAGTTGCAGCAGATGCTACTGAAGAACAAAAATCTGCAGAAAGAGCTACGAGGAAGAGGGATCAGAAAGCTCTGTTATATATCCATCAGTGTGTGGATGAAAGTGTGTTTGAGAAGATTGTTGATTCGACGACGTCGAAGGAGGCATGGGATATACTGGCCAGATGTTATGGTGGTGATGGGTCAGTAAAGAAGGTAAAGCCTCAGTCCCTGCGAAAGCAATATGAGAATCTCAACATGAAGAACAGTGAGAAAGTTTATGAGTACATCTCCATAATGATTCTGATCACTAATGAGATGAAAGTTTGTGGAGAAACACTTTCTGAACAGGTAATCATAGAAAAGATTCTGAGGTCACTTACTCCTCAGTTTGACTACATTGTTGCTTCTATTGAACATTCTAAAAATCTGGAAACCATGAGAATAGAAGAGTTGCAAAGCAGTCTAAAAGTGCAAGAGTTGCGTCTGACTGAAAGAACTTCTGAGAGGGAAGTGGAGCAAGCTCTGAAAGCTTCTTTTGTCAAGAAGGACCAGAAACAGAGTATACATGGTGATAAATTCCAGAAGTCAGAAACCTCAACTTCTGATGAAAAGAAATATCAGAAGAGAAAGGAAAGGTATGACAAGAAGAAGGTTCAATGTTCTTATTGTAAACAGTTTGACTATTTTGCCAGAGATTGTAGAAACAGAGGAAGGAAATCAAAAGAATCAAATATAGCCAGAAGAGATTCTGATGATGAACTTGTGCTACTGATGGCTTCTGATTCTGATGGAAACTATTCAGAAGATTGGTGGTATATGGACATTGGCTGTTCAAACCACTTGACTGGGAACAAACAGTGGCTGATAGACTTTGACTCCAGAAGGAGAACAAAGATCAGATGTGCTGATGATAAGTATCTTAATGCAGAAGGTATGAGAAATGTCAGAGTCAAAGTGAAGAATGGAAAAAACATTCTGATCAAAGATGTTTGGTATGTTCCTAGAATTAAAAGTAATCTGATGAGTGTGGGTCAGCTTATTGAGAAGAGTTTCTCAGTGATTATGAAGGACAACTTCTTGACGTTGTATGATTCTAATCAGAAGTTGATTATGAAGTCTGAGCTGGGAAGCAACAGAACATTCAAGGTGAATGTAGAAATAGCTGAAGCAGAGTGTCTTAGTGCAGAAGACGCTGATGGTGACAGTAAGCTGTGGCACAAGAGGTTGGGGCACTTGAACTATAGAAGCTTAGGGCATCTAAGTTCTAAGAAGATCGTATATGGCATTTCGAAGATCGTGAAGCCTCAGAAGTCATGTTAGATATGCATGAAAGGTAAGCAACCCAGATTGCCATTTGCATCAGATGTAGCCCCTAGAGCAAAGCATGCTTTAGGAGTAGTACATTTTGATGTGTGTGGACCATTTCCAGTATCTTCACTTGGAGGAAACAAATATTTTGTGTCTTTTGTGGATGAGTTCACAAGAATGACATGGGTAACACTCATCAAGTTCAAACATGAAGTGTTTACTGAGTTCCAGAAGTTCAAGGTGAAAGCTGAGAAGCGGAGTGGTCAGAAGCTGAAGATTCTGAGAACATATGGTGGAAGTGAGTATAACTCTACAGAGTTCTAGAAGTTCTGTGAGGAGAATGGAATAGAACATGAAGTTACTACTCCATATACTCCTCAACACAACGGTCTTGTTGAAAGAAGAAACATAACTTTGCTTGATATGACCAGAAGTATGCTGAAAGAGAAGAAGCTACCTCATATGTTATGGGGAGAAGTTGTTGCCATGTCAGCATATGTTCTGAAGAGGTGTCCAACAACGAAGATGAAGGAAATTGTTCCTTTAGAAAAATGGACTGGAGACAAGCAAAGTGTTAGCCATTTGAAAGTGTTTGGTTCTGTATGCTACAAACACGTTCCAGAGGCTTGAAGACGAAAATTGGATGATAGAGGCAAAGTAATGTTACTGGTGGGGTACCACAGTACATGTGCCTATAAGCTTTATTGTCCAGAAACCAACAAAGTTGAAATCAGCAGAGACGTCATTGTGAAAGAGTCAGAAACATGGGATTGAAACAAGATTCAATCAGATTCTGGTGTAGCGCCAACGCCAGAGTTAGTTTCTGAAGATTCTTCAGAAAGTTCTAAAGACGAGTCAGAGTCAGAAGATGAAGACTCTGAAGATGAGTCAGAATCTCAGGGAGATTCTGATAATGGATCTGATTCTGATCCATATTTTGATGATGATCCAAAATCCGGTGGTGATTATATTTATGGAAGGGAAAACTCTGAAGACATAGGGTCTGGAGAACAAGTTTCCAGAAGTAACTCTGAAGGTGGTAATTCTGAAGGAAGTAGTTCTGGACAAGGTCCAGAAGCTAGCATTGTTCCAAGTTCTGGAGAAGCATCAGAACAAGTTCAGAGGCCACAAAGAATCAGACGAATACCAAGTAGATTTGCATATTTTAGCATGTTGCATGATAATGAAGTAGATTCTGAAGGAGAAATCGTTCAGTGTGCCATGTTAGTAGATTCTGAACCAGTGGGTATTGAAGAAGCTCTCAAGAAGAAAGTATGGCTGAATTCCATGAAAGAAGAACTTGAGGCTATTGAAAGAAATAGAACGTGGAAGCTGACGAAGCTTCCAGAAAAGAAAAAAGCCATCAGCATAAGATGGGTTTTCAAGGTGAAGCTTAAGCCAGATGGATCAATTGGCAAACACAAAGCGAGACTAGTGGCTAGAGGTTTTCTTCATAAACCTGAACTAGATTACTTTGAGGTGTTTGCGCCTGTAGCTAGACACGAAACAATCAGACTGGTGATTGCTTTAGCTGCAAAAAGAAATTGGCCTTTGATACATCTGGATGTGAAGTCTACATTTCTGAATGTTCCGTTACAATAAGAGGTATATGTGTCACAACCTCCTGGATTTGTGAAAAAGAATCAGGAAGGAATGGTATATAAGTTACATAAAGCCTTGTATGGACTGAAACAAGCTCCCAGAGCTTGGAATCTGAAAATTGATTCGTTTTTCAAAAGGAAGAAGTTTCAGAAATGTGAGATGGAGTATGACGTGTATGTGCAGCATTCTGGTAGCAATATGATTCTAGTGTGTCTATATGTTGATGACATATTGCTAACAGGAAGTTGTCCAAAAGATATAGTCAAGTTCAATGAAGTTCTGATGAATGAATTTGAGATGACAGATCTGGTTAATATGGTATATTTTCTAGGAATGGAGATTATGTACTCAAAGAAGGGTATCATTATGCATCAGTTGAAGTATGAACTTGAACTTCTGAAGAGAATTGAGCTAGAAAATTGAAAGGTTGTTATCACACCTGCTGATACGAATCAGAAGTTGGACTCTGATTCTGATGAAGAGGATGTGGATGCTACAACCTTCAAACAAATGGTTGGTTCTCTGAGGTATTTGTGTAATACAAGACCTGATATTTGCTATGCAGTTGGAATGGTTAGCAGATACATGAGAAAACCAAAGTGGTCTCATTACCAAGCTGTTGTCAGGATTCTAAGGTATGTAAAGGGGACTCTGAAATATGGAGTGTTATTTCCGTCTGGAAGAAAGATTGAATCAAAACTTCTGAGTTATTCTGATTCTGATTGATGTGGAGATAGAGTTGACAAAAGAAGTACTTCTGGATACTTGTTCATATTTCTGGGAGGTCCATTTCTTGGAGTTCCAAGAAACAGGCTGTTGTGGCTTTATCAACATGTGAAGCTGAATACATTGCAGGTGTTGTAGCTGCATGTCAAGTTGTTTGGCTTCTGAATCTTCTGGAGAATTTGAAGATTGAAATAGAGAAACCTCTGAAGCTGTTGATTGATAACAAGTCTGCAATCAATCTTGCCAAGAATCCTGTGCTACATGGAAGAAGCAAGCATATTGAGACGAAGTATCATTTTCTGAGAAGTCAAGTGCAGAAAGGAGTGTTAGAAGTTCTGCACTATAACACTTAGAAGCAGCTGGCAGATGTTCTGACGAAGGCGATAAAAATAGACCAATTTCTTCGCATGAGAGATGAAATTGGTGTTGTTAACTTCTGATAGTTACTAAATTACGGGATGGTATTAAAGGGTAATTTAGTATTTGCCATTTGTTGGATATTCTCTTTAGGCCCTATGTGGCATCCTTATCTTTACTACTTTTGTGTATAAATAGGTGTATTAGGTTTACATTTTATATACAATCAATTCTCTTCAATCATTTGTGGCAGCTTTATAGTATTTATTCTTTTTCTCTCTTCTTCCTCAATTTCATCACCTTGCATCAACAGTACCTTAGCAAAAAAAACCTTATAAATAGATTTGGGGA